TTTTTTTTCTCATTATGCACTGCGTGCTCCAGGATTTTTTTTATGTGGTGCACACTGACCACACAGACCCATTCTCTCACATGTGGGCCTACTAGCTTTCTCCTGCCTGATTTGAAGCCGCTAGAATTTATGAGTATATATACGTCAAACACGGTACCTCGCAAACGTATATATACGGCCGCGACAGTCAAAGGGTTAAAATGCTGAATTTGTGGTCTATTTTCGTATAGTATTTATAGTTGTATTCTCGTTTTCTTGGTCTAATTTGATAGGATGGAAAACATGTTATAGAAGTAGAGGTGATTTTGAATGATTTTTCTATAACAAGAACCTGGAAATGGATCTCAATCTAGGGAAAATGTTTGATTTTTGCCGATGTTCAAAAGTAAACAAATGATGTCATTGTCCAATAAATGTCCAACTAGCTATTCTAATATGCAGTCATGAATGGGTTGATGTTATTTATACAATTATTACAGTATTGCAGTAGTCTGCATAATAGTAAGTCTTCTATTTTTTGTTTGAATAAAAATTCAAAATAGAAAGCAAGAGTAATATCAGAGGGGCCTGGAGACATGACTGATGAACAAAGAAAATGTTATTTTAGAGCCAGGAATGTCTGCATTGTTCATTCTGGACCTTATTTTGAAATTGTCATATTTTTTAATTTTCGTGAAATTGGCCAAATTGCAAATTTCTGACCACATTATTGGGTAGTTGAAATCGGTAAATGGGCATTTTTTTGTGCTCAATCAATAGAAAAAATGGAGTTCTAAAGAAATAGCTATGAGTTTGGTCGACTGGAACAATGTAATTAGCCGAAAATAGGGCTCAAAGTGGGCAAAATCGCCGATTTGTAAATATCGCCGAGGTCGCTAACTTCACGAGAGCATAATTCAGTCAGTTTTCCATCAAATTTCGTTTTTTTAGTGTCTTTACAATCGGGAAAAGATTCTCTATCATTTTATAAGAAAAAATATTTTTTTTTTTTTTGAAATTTTGCGACACCAGGAGACACCTCAGGATTGGGGGTTGCGACAGTCAAAGGGTTAATCCCACCCCTCTCCCGAACACCCTACCATTTACTTTCTTTTCAACCCCATCTATAAATATATTAAACAACCATGTTGACATTACACATCCCTGTCTAAGACCTACTTTTACTGGGAAGTAGTCTCCCTCTCTTCTACACACCCTAACCTGAGCTTCACTATCCTCGTAAAAACTCTTTACAGCATTTAGTAACTTACCACCTATTTCATATACTTGTAACATCTGCCATATTGCTCCCCTATCCACTATCATATGACTTTTCTAAATCCACAAATGCAATAAAAACTTCCCTAACTTTATCTAAATACTGTTCACATATGTGCCTCAATGTAAACACTTGATCTTCACATCCCCTACCCACTCTAAAACCTCCCTGCTCATCAGCAATCCTACATATCTGAGCAAATTAGACCTGTTCTCACTGCAGATGACACAACTTTTGTCATCTCACATCTTAATCTGAATTCCCTCAACAACAGTGCTAATGAAGAACTCTTAAATGAAATCAACCTGGATGATTACCAACAAACTCACACTTTTGAGAAGACCTTCTACATTATGTTTGGGAACAAAGTAATGAATGTCCAACTAAACGTTATGATTAAAGGTTTTCTCACTGCTAAACAAAATGAAGGAAAATTCCTAGGACTGTACCTCACCTGCAACTTGAAATTCAACACCCACATGCAACACATTACAAAAAAGTATCCAGAACAGTTGGCATCCTCTCCAAGATACGTTACTATGTACCTCAAACAGTCCTAATTACATTATACTATTTTCTAATCAATCCCTACCTCACCTATGCTGTGTATCTGTAGATCCACCACAGCAACTCACCTTAAGCCAATGTAACAGCAAAAAGTGGTACTACGAATGATCACCCCAATCTACCACCAGATGACACATCCCCACTCTTTAAAGAACTAAGCCTACTTAACATACAAAAAATTCACTCATACAGGTTGGCCATCACTGGGACGTGAAGTGTGCCGGATCAGTGAGTTTACTGGATTACAGAGTAGTTAGGTTAGAATACACTTAATTAACTTATCAACAGAGACTCTTTCTGCTACATCTTCCTCATTTTCATCACTGCTTTCTCCTCTACTGACTTTCTACTGTGGATTTACAACTATCTGCACAATTTCCGAGTCAGTATAATGATGAAATTTGAAATTATGCTAGCCGAAATTAGTGTCGGATTACTGATGAAACTGGATAACTGACTGCCAGATTAGTGATGGCTGACCTGTATTGCTGCACATACACGACAAATTCTAATAGCCATCCTGCCTTGAAACTCTTTCTTGATGGATGCAACAGAAATCATAGGCATAGTACTAGACAAAAATTTCTATGATGTTCCCTGCATCCAGCTTAACCTTGGCAAAAACTCAATGTTCATAAAAGGACCTAAAATTCTGTTAAACTCTACCAAAAGACTCCACTCTCTCTCTTCTGTCAGCCACTTCAAAGCTACTGTTAAAAAACATCTCCTTTCCCTAATGTAATCCTAACAATTATTTTTATTTTAACAAGCTGGTTGTCTCCCACCCAGGCAGGGTGACCTAAAAATAGGAACACTTTCACCATCACTTACACTATCACTGTCTTGCCAGAGCCATGAAGATACAACAGTTTAGATGTACCTCTAAACAGCAAATAACTCAAACCCCTCCTTCAGATTGCAGGAGGGGTTTGGGTTCCCACCTCCAGGACTCAAATCCAGCTAACCAATTTTCTTGAATCCCTTCACAAAATATTACCCAACAGCTCATCAGGTCTCAAAACCATTTGTCTCCACTCACTCTTATCTAACATGCTCATACATGCCTGCTGTATGTCCAAGCCCGTTGCACATAAAACCTATTTTACCCCATCCCTCCATCATTTCCCAGGACAACCCCTACCCCATCTTTCCTCCACTAGTTTTGTACACCCTCCAAGTCCATCCTCTCTAAACAACCAAACCACCTCACTGACTACACTTCAGCCCTCTGGATAACACTTTTAGTAACTCTGCACATCCTCCTAATCTCCAAACCATGAATTTGCTACACAATATTTATGCAACACATTGCCCTCAGACACATCTTCAATGCTTTCAGCCTCCTCGCTGCAACATTCGCAACCCAAAATTCACGCCCATATAAAAGTGTTGGTAATTAAGTGATTATAGCTTAAATGAGTTCTGTACAGATACTAAGGGCCTGGGACATATTAACAGCATAATATGAAGGATACCTAATTTTTAAAAACTGCATTAATTTCTCAATATACAGTGGAACCTCGAGTTTCGGCCGTAATCTGCTCCAGAAGCTCAGCCAAAACTCAAATTGTTCGAAAGTCAAAGCAATATTTCCCATAAGAAATAGTGCAAATCCAATTAATCCGTTCCAGACACCCAAAAATATTCACAAAAAATTAATTTAAAGAAAAAAATAGTTTTACATACAGAAAAAATAAAAAAAATAAATATCAATAAATATAAACATTACATACCTTTATTGAAGACTCTTGTTGGCTTATGGAAGACAGGGAACATGCGAGTTTCTTTCAAAACAGGACAAGTTACTCCTTCAATATGACGCTAATATCAACTCTACGGCTTATTTATCAATCACAACTGATCTAATATGACATAATAAAAGCAGTGTTGTCAGTGACCCTATATACCTCCAATAACATGGGAGGAGTTAGTTTCGTGTCTTTTTCTATCGCTTAATTTACTTGCTACACTGTTAATGCTATACTTTATCGCTGGCTGGCGCTATAGCCTTTATCGACTCCTGCTGCTTTAGTATCGTACATATTGTAGAATCACTGAAGAAGGCACATTCTTCCCTCTCTCTCTCTCTCTCTCTTCCTCCTCCACTTCCGTACTTTGCTACAATTTCTTTCTTCAATTCTATCGCCGTTCCTCACTTTCTTTACCAAAGGGCTGGCACTAGAAAGTTTCTTTGGGATCATGGTTCATTACATAGCAGTCGTACTCAATCAAAACACACACACACACACAACACACACACACACAAAAAAAATGGATTATTGTGAAATGTCTGGATGAAAGCAGAGGGAGATGTTTACTCGAGAAGATACAGTCAGACTGACCCACAACGCATGCATGGGATGCTTTGTGTGGGCGCAGGTGGGCAGACAGGTCTGGTATGGTGGCCAAAACTAAAGGTACTCTTCGAAACTCAAGACAAAATTTAGCTGAAAAAAGTGACCAAAACTCAAAACGGCCTAAACTTGGGTGGCTGAAACTCGAAGTTCCACTGTGCAGTATTACATTATTTTCAGATATTGTACTATACAGTGGTCCCTTGAGTAATGATGGGCTGGAGGTATGATAATTCTGAGTTACAACTTACCCTCAAGGGAATTTACTCTTGAGTTGCGATGAAAAATCCGAGACGTGGTATGCATTTGTGATTTAATTACACCATGTTTACTGTTACTAATTCATTATGACCCCTTAAGCATTCAGTAAAAAGACAATTTATCTGAAGATCAAACAAGTAATAGTGAGAAAAACATGATGCAAGAGTTAAAATTAGTGCATTCATACATGAATCTAGCTTTTCACAGCCAACCATCAGTATTACCACCAAGCAAAAATACATTATAAAAGACTAAGCAGCTGACAAATCTAAGCTTGTGAGAAAAAAACAGGGAAATTATCATGAGATGGATAGACTGTTGTTAATGTGGATAAGAGAGGCAGATGGAAGGTGATACAGTTCCTACAAGTTATATTTGTGAATGTGGAAGTCCAAGGTATAGTAAAAGCTGAAATTCCAGGGTACTGGAATGAACTACCATAAAACCACGTAATCTAGGGTTTGAGCTACAATACAGCTTCTGGAATGAATTAATACAAAAACTCAAGGGACCACCATGCTAATTTAACATACACCACACTAGTTTTGGTGTTTACTCACTGAATCAGGATATGTGGCACTAAACATCATGGTTTGGCGCTCACCCACTTTTGGCATAGTCGAGTGATTTGTGAGACTTGACATGTCTTGTTCAAAACCCATATCCAACATACGGTCTGCTTCATCGAAAATGAGAAATTTTAGTTTCTCAAAACTTATCTTTCCCTTTGATACAATATCCAATAACCTTCCTGGGGTGGCCATTATAATGGGATTCTCATTTTCCTGTTAAAAGAATAAAAACAAATATGACAAGCACTTTGACTATCTATACATGTATATGAGATATGGTTCAAGTAAGTAAGTAAATTTATTCAGGTATACACAAATACAGTTACATAGAATTATCATACATAGCAGCATATGTGTAGAGAACCTAGGATAACCCAAAAAAGTCAGACAGAGTGACTTATTTCCATTGGGGTCCTTTAAAAAGTACAGGTATTTCATTACAGCAGGCCCTTATATTACACGGATTTGGCACGTTTTGGTTATTACACTATTGAAAAAATTGCGGCATAATTTTATAAAACACACTGTAAAATTAACTTAACACGATTTGGTTTGCAAGGAGAAAAAATTTAGAGTGTCACCCGTGGAATATTTCCCTAGCTCAGGCCGCTACTTTGATGTGAGTGAGACCACTGTCTCCATTTTGTACAATTAAAAAGAAACGAGATAAATATACGAGTCTGTGATGAATAACTGACTGACTTATTTGACAGACTGACTTGAATTTAGACTTTTTCACTGAAGAGGACCCTGACAAATCTAGAAGCAGTGCTCTGAAATGGTGTCTAATGCAGCTGATGCCTTTCTATCAGCTATATTATGTATTGCAGGTTAAAATAGCCCTGAAATCCATAACAGAATTTATGCACACTCCAGTACAGCCATTAACTTCAGTACTAGAACCTCTACCATCCACTTCACCCTAGTAGGGCCACAGCATAATTCTCAACTCTCTTCACAATCATCGACAAACACCAGCACCCACAATTTAATGCAAAAAATATTATTTCTGTTGCACTTGTAGTCTTAATCAGTAAAAACAAATCATGACAATGAACAACAATTACATATTCACTTTTATTTTTGTAAGATCTGGAGTCCAAAAACAAGTTGTTTGGCTTTTTTTTTCAGGACTCCCAAGAATGTATACCTGGAGAGGGTTTCGAGGGTCAACGCTCCCGCGGCCCAGTTCCTCAGTTTATCTAACAAGGATTTATCTAACACAGTACATATTATCAGGAACATAACTACCGTGTAATATAAGGGTCTACTATATTTTTAAAATGGACATACTGGACACATTCAAATCACAATTTTTGTCTGATAAAATTACAGTATGAAAAAGCAGTCTAGTAGAAGAACTTTGGCGAATAATTTATTGACATTACATTCATGGGGAAAGTGTTAAACACTAAAAGTCATAAGAAAATATTCTATTTTTATATATACTAAACCCTTAACATTTATTTACAGCAATTGTTGGAGAAATATTGAAGTAAAAATGTTACATCCAAAGAAGAGCTTAGTGTGAAAAATTGATTGTTTTTTTTTAAGAAATACCTAAGAGTTAGCCAGCTTTTAAGGGTTTCAAGAGGTTTTAACTCAAAATACTACTCCACCACTAACGATATTAATACAAATATGAGCTGACGTGTCGGCGGATGGATTTATGAAGGATGAGGTTAATCATAGAATTGATCAGGGAAAAAAAGGTGAGTGGTGCATTGAGGTATATGTGGAGACAAAAAACATTATCTATGGAGGCAAAGAAGGGAATGTATGAAAGTATAGTAGTACCAACACTCTTATATGGGTGTGAAGCTTGGGTTGTGAATGCAGCAGCGAGGAGGCGGTTGGAGGCAGTGGAGATGTCCTGTCTAAGGGCAATGTTTAGTGTAAATATTATGCAGAAAATTCGGAGTGTAGAAATTAGGAGAAGGTGTGGAGTTAATAAAAGTATTAGTCAAGAGGGGTTGTTGAGGTGGTTTGGTCATTTAGAGAGAATGGATCAAAGTAGAATAACATGGAGAGCGTATAAATCTGTAGGGGAAGGAAGGCGGGGTATGGGTCGTCCTCGAGAAGGTTGGAGGGAGGGGGTAAAGGAGGTTTTGTGGGCGAGGGGCTTGGACTTCCAGCAAGCGTGCGTGAGCGTGTTAGATAGGAGTGGATGGAGATGAATGGTATTTGGGACCTGATGATCTGCTGGAGTGTGAGCAGGGTAATATTTAGTGAAGGGATTCAGGGAAACCTGTTATTTTTATACAGCCGGACTTGAGTCCTGGAAATGGGAAGTACAATGCCTGCACTCTAAAGGAGGGGTTCGGGATATTAGCAGTTTGGAGGGATATCTTGTGTATCTTTATAGGTATATGCTTCAAAACTTTTGTGTTCTGGGCACCTCTGCAAAAACAGTGATTATGTGTGAGTGATGTGAAAGAGTTGAATGATGATGAAAGTATTTTCTTTTTAGGGATTTTCTTTCTTTTTTTGGGTCACCCTGTCTCGGTGGGAGACGGGCGATTTGTTAAAAAAATAAAAAAAAAAAGTGTTTAACCCTTTCACTGGTGGTGCCGTAATATTACGCCAAAACTCTAGAGGCTTCCAAACTTGCAGAAGAAAGCTATTAGGCATACATGTGAGAGAATGGGTCTGAGTGGTCAGTGTGCACAATATAAAAAAAATATCCTGCAGCATGCAGTGCATGAGAAAAAAAAAAACTTTTTGGTTTAAAACACTGATTTTGAGGTGTATTTTTGTATGGTATTTATAGATGTAGTCTCATTTTCTTGGTCTCGTTTGACAGAATGCAAGATATACTACAGAAATAGAGATGATTTTGAAAGGTTTACAGACTAAAAGTACCTTGAAGTTAAGCTCAAAGTAGCAGAAATGTTCGATTTTTGCCGAAGTTCAAGAATAAACAAATCACGTCATGCGTCCAATGTATATCAACTGCAGGGACTAATATGCTTTCACAAATGCGCTGATATTATTTATACCATTTTTACAATAATGCAGTAGACTGTATAACAGTAAATCTGTAATATAAGAGGGGCCTGGAGATGTGACTAATGAACAGAGAATGTTATTTTAGTGCCAGGAATCGTTAATTCTGGACCCTATTTTGAAATTGGGCTCACTTGAATTGTGTATGAAACTGGCCAAATTACCAATTTCTGGTCACTTTATTGGTACAGTTAAATTTGGTAAATAGCCAGTTTCTTGTACTCAATTAACAGAACAAATGGAGTTCTAGCAAAACAGGTATGAGTTTGGTCGACTGGAACAACGGAATTGGCTGAAAATAGGGCTCAACGTGGGCGAAATCACCAATGCATCAATATCGCTGAGTGCTAAATTCATGAGAGTGCTATTCCCCAAGTTTTCCATCAAATTTTGTACTTTTGTGACATTACCATCGAAAAAAATTTTCTCTATCATTTCAAAAGTATATATTTTTTTAAATCCTTCGACACTGAGAGCAAGTCTGTGAAGAGGGGTCTCGACAGTTAACCCTTAAACGGTCCAAACAGATTGACGTTCAAATTCGTAGTGCTACAAAAGTAGATCTACTTTTTTTTACATATTTTCAAATATAACAAAAAAAAAAAATATATAAAAGTTTTTTTACACGTTTTCACATGTAAAACAAAAACAAAAAAAAAAGATCTAAATATTTTTACATACTTTCAGATGTTGAAAAAACGTATATATACGTTTGGACCATTTAAGGGTTAAAGGGTTAACCCTTTTACTGTCGCGGCCGTATATATACGTCTTACGAGGTACCGTGTTTGACGTATATATACTCAAATTCTAGCAGCTTCAAATCAAGAAGGAGAAAGCTGGTAGGCCCACATGCGAGAGAATGGGTCTGTGTGGTCAGTGTGCACCACATAAAAAAATCCTGGAGCACGCAGTGCATAATTAGAAAAAAAAAAATTCCAACAGTTTTTTTTTAATTAAAATGGCGACTTTGTGGTCTATTTTCGTATAGTATTTATTGTTGTATTCTCGTTTTCTTGGTCTCATTTGATAGAATGCAAAATATATCATAGAAATAGAGGTGATTTTGATTGAGTTTACTATAAAAAGAACCTGGAAATGGAGCTCAAAGTAGAAGAAATGTTTGATTTTTGCCCATGTTCAAAAGTAAACAAATGATGCCATTGTCCAATAAATGTCCAACTAGCCATTCTAATATGCAGTCATGAATGGGTTGATGTTATTTATACAATTATTACAGTATTGGAGTAGTCTGCATAACAGTAAATCTTCTATTTTTTGTTTGGATAAAAATTCAAAATAGAAAGCATGTTTAATATCAGAAGGGCCTGGAGACAGGACTGATGAACAAAGAAAATGTTATTTTAGAGCCAGGAATGTCTGCATTGTTCATTCTGGTCCTTATTTTGAAATTGTCATATTTTTTTATTTTCGTGAAATTGGCCAAATTGCAAATTTCTGACCACGTTATTGGGTAGTTGAAATTGGTAAAAGGGCAGTTTCTTGTTCTCAGTCGATAGAAAAAACGGAGTTCTAAAGAAATAGCTATGAGTTTGGTCGACTGGAACAATAGAATTAGCCGAAAATAGGGCTCAAAGTGGGCGAAATCGCCGATTTGTAAATATCGCCGAGATCGCTAACTTCGCGAGACCGTAATTTCGTCAGTTTTCCCATCAAATTTTGTTTTTTTGGTGTCATTACAATCGGGAAAAGATTCTCTATCATTTCATAAGATTTTTTTTTTTTTTTTTTAATTTTGCGACATCAGGAGACACCTCAGGATTGGGGGTTGCGACAGTCAAGGGGTTAAGAGAGACTGCAGAATGGGAAATCGACTAATCACATTTTAATTAAAATGCTTTTGTTTTTCACATTAGGGGTTTTACATCAAGCCAAAACACTCAATCTGTGTAATTTTGTACAAATGATGAATCAAGAAACTAGGTACATTAATGTAAGACAGATCATGGAATTTAACCTGGATCTGGCATATGAGAGATGCATATCAATATAGGTGATGCAAGAATGGGAAGACTCAAGTATTCAAAATGTTTTTTTCACATGGTTATTACGACCATCGGAAAACACTACTCTGGACTTTGCTCCTGGTAAGAAAAGCATTAATCACACTGTTTAAGTGTCTCACTATTTTACGATCAGGGGTCGATCATAGATGTCAAGATGATCAAGAAAGTGCATTTGTAGTG